TAATCTAATCTAATCTAATCTAATCTAATCTAATCTAATCTACCTGTCTATGAGGGCCAGTGTTGTGTTGTGGGTACAGTGTCAGACTAGGACTCAAGAGACCTGGTTTCAAATCACTGCTTAGCCACAGAAATTCATTAGAGGGTGTCAATGGTAAAGCCACTCCTTAAACATCTCACATACTTCAAAAAGTTATGTTAGGCTTGTTTAAAGTCAATGGTGATTTAACAGCATGTTGCAATGCATGTCTATATACAGTGGTGCCTCGCTTAACGTTTGCTTCGTTTAACGTTTTTTTCGCTTAACGTTTATTTTTTCAGAGGCAGATTGTGCTTCGTATAACGTTTTTCCCTATGGGCGATTTTCGCATAGCGTTTTTGGGACCATGCTTCGCTTAACGTTTTTGGTTTTAGGTCCCCTGCTTCGCTTAACTTTTTTTTTGTTTTCAATTTAAAAAGTGTCTTAGAAGGGTCAAAAACGGTTCTAAATGCTTGGATTCGTTAGAGGACCCCTTAAGTCATGTGCAAACCTGATTTGGCTTTGATCTGAACTTTCGTTAATTTTTTGTAAATTGTTTTCTCCCCCATAGGAAAGCATGGAGCTGTCAGATTTTGACAGGTCCATTGGTTCCTATGGGAAAAAAAAAAAAATTCACAAAAAATTAACGAAATGTCAGATCAAAGCCAAATCAGGTTTGCACATGACTTAAGGGGTCCTCTAACGAATCCAAGCATTTAGAACCGTTTTTGACCCTTCTAAGACACTTTTTAAATTGAAAAAAAAACATCGTTAAGTGAAGCAGGGGACCTAAAATCGCATTCGTTATGCGAAGCATGGTCCCCAACTTCGCTAAGCGAAAATCGCCCATAGGAAACATCGTTATGCGATGCATATTATTTTCTAAAAAAACACATTGTTATGCGAATTCATCGCTAAACGAGGCAATCGTTAAGCGAGGCACCACTGTATATGCAGAGGAGCACTGAGTACACTGGCAAAGGTGTGAGGCTGCATCCAATTTATAGGTGAATTCTGCATCCCATCAACACCAGATTTGTGTAATTAGGTTGTCTGAGAAAGCACTTTATAGTGGTTTTTTTTCCTTTAGTGAAACCATGGTGGCTCTCCAGAAGTTGGAGCTGAACCATAACCAACAAGCAGCCATATCCACTATAGCCAATGGCGAGAGGTCTTGGGAGCTACAGTCCCAAAGCATCTCCAAGGGTATGAGCGTCCTTTGTCCAGAGCTTCATCGGGTCATGGACTGTCACCACTTGCTCAGGTTGGCTGAAGGATAGCAGGGAGTAGTGCACTCTTCTCTGAGGTGTTCCTGAGATCTAGTGAATTATTATATGGTTTTATTTGTCTCTTAGTCCTAAACTGGCTTGCTGGTGGTTTCTCCCTTCATGTTTGCTCTTTAGTTCTGAATTCTCAGTTGATTTGAAACAATGCCTCCTGATTTTGCCCAGAGGTTTGAAATGTTACTTTTTCAGGATTGTAGATCCCAGAACCTACAATCCAATCTCTTTCTTCTTCTTCATAAAGTAATGTGTTCCAAGCACTGGCTTTTGTCTACCAATCCATTATGAATTCCACTGCCTCAGGGAGTTGATAGTTTAGGCATAATGGTAGGGGAGAAAAATTGTGAATTGAAAATGATCTGATTTTTTTTAAAAAAATCCAAAAATACATTAGAAGTTCTTTCTGGCTGTGCTTTGTAAATCCATGCCCAGCTCTTCAAAGATATCATTCATACTCATACATGGGACTCATACATATAACTAAGCACTTAAAATAAATATATGTAAATCAAAACTGCATAGTCTAAAGGCAGCTGAACAATTTTATATCATTTTGATTTTGGTAATTTGTTTCCTTGCTTAGAAATCATGAATGGAAAGAGCATAAATTTAATGTATAAAACAAAATAAAGTATACCTGAAATACATGACCCATGATAATACCTTTATCTAATATACAGTTTATTTACCTATTCATGATTTGTTGTACATATAATATATATAGAAAAGACAGCTCAAATGACCTGCAATTTTAATGTACCAGCAGTGGAGGGCAGACTATGAAAAGACCATAAGAAAGCCGCTTATTCATCTTCGCTAATAACATGCTATGCAAAATTCAGCATACTACTGTAACTGAGCCAATTTTATGTACTAAAGATGTGTCTTTTTCTTTCCTTTCTTGGAAGAGAAACAATGTCTCCTGTGATTTTTCAAGGAATTTTGCATTTTGCTCTTCAAACAGAAAAGCAGTGACACAAGAATGGTTTTGTTGTCAAGCAGACAATAGATAAAGCCAGAAAAAAATTGTTTTCGTGCATGAGAGAACAAATCTAGGCCACAACCCAGAACATTCTGTATCTGTGGCCTTTCAGTTAATTGGGCAAAGCGGGCTGCCGGATGACCCCTCCAAAATATTATTTTCTGCTCCCTGCAATTCATTTCTGTCCACACCTGAATAAATATCATTCAGTGGAAGTCATGGGAAATGCATTCCATTGGGAAAAATCACAAAGTGAAGCTTGAGACATTTTATCAGTTAACTTATCCTTCTGAATTCTTTCAAGAGATACCAACTTTCACACAGACATAAAAGAAAAAGAAGAAACCCCTAAAGATGCATAGGTTGTTTGTGAGTCTTTTTGGATACATCGGTAAACATAATATAATAGCGAATGACATACTTTTGTTATACGTTGTCTGTAGTTGGGCTCTTTCCCAAGACAGGTTAGACCACCCAGTCTATTTCATGGCAGAGCAGGACTCTGAAGGTGGGTCTTGCTTCTTCTACCCATTATGCTCATGGGTATAGTGGTCCAACAGAGACTGCAGCTCAGCTCAGAGGTAACAGAGATGCCCGGGAGCAGGGAGATCACGGTTCTGCTAAAACAGATGTCTCTTGCTGTTCTCAGTGCATCATCTTTCTATGTTGAGCAACCAAGTTAGAACCAAGCTTCTGTCCACATTTGCTCAAACACATGCAGAAGCTTCCGAGGACTTAGAACTCAAGAAAATCAAGGACCAAGAGAGTGTGAAGATTAGGCCCACAAAGATGTTGCTGTGAGAAGGAGGACCAGCCCGTGTGGCCTTCTTCCCCTTATGTGTGTTATTGTAACCAGTTCATCCAGAAGATAGTTTTGGTAGAGCACAGAACTGCTCCTAAAGCTTACGGGTCTCACAGCCAGTCCCCCCTGACTGGCCCATGAATTTCTTTGGCATGTAAATGAAGATGGGGAGAGACGGGCACCTCTCTATGGGCTCCTAGTAGTGCAAACAATTTTCAGGGCCATAAGGAGGTTCAGAAGAGGCCCCACTCTATTCTGCCTCTTCTGGTCAGTGGTATGATGTTTGAGGGATCTCTCCTTCTCTTTTGGTGAGCTGTGGGAAAAAAAGTAAGTACACCACAGGGATTTCGGTGCTTAGACACTGTGACAGAACCCAGGGCTCTTGATCCAGCCACTCAACCACAGGATCCTCCCTTATCCTAAGCATGCGTGGGCCCTAAGAGGAAAGATAGTTGCCTTGGCTACGCTTTGTTTGGTTTTTATCTGAAGCACTGCCTCCCCGTCTCCATTGCGCCAAAGCACCTCAGCCAGCTATGTGGATAATACCTGGTTTCAGGGTCTTTGCAGCCAAGGCACCGTGTGGGAGGAATACACCCAACAATCAGGCTCACCATCCCTCCCACAGTTCCTTGGCCTTGAGGACCTGCAAAAGCTGGCCTTATCTAGGCAGGCAGATGGCCAGCCGGCCAGCCATCCAGGAAGCAAGCTGCATTATAAAGGTAGGCAGATGGGAATCCAAGGGGAGGAAAAGGTGCTACCACTGCTTTTTTCCCCTCCCCTCCCTTCTCCTCTCTCTTCCCACGAGTACTGCTGTGTGGTGGTGGCATTCGGACTTCTGCCAGCACAAGTGGAAAACCTTATGCTTCGTCTGTATAAATACAATTGTGGCCCAAGAGATTAGGGCTAGATGGTGGGGCTCCACAAATTTATACTGGTCACGAGAAAAAACGCTGCTTTTCTATCCACCACTCTACTTTTCGGTTTTGAAGTCTCATAGGTATGACATGATATGCCAAAGTAGATGTGTGCCCAGATGTTTATTGTCCTGAAATATCACTGATGGTGACAAATCCGTGCTTTGCAAAAAAAGAGGAGAAAAATGGCAGGATGATGTGGTCCAGACATTTCATTATATTCTTAAAAGTCAGATCTTCCTAATTTCCAAACAGAAAAGTTTCCTTGCTACCCCTCCCCTATTTATTCCCCTCCACACTCCTATTGTGTCTTGTCTTTTAGATTACAAACCTAAAGGTGGGAACCGTCTTGTTACTGGTCTCTGAAAGCATTTCGAGGAAGCCTTTTCCAGCTGTAAAGCAAGGTCTTCATTGTAGCCTGCAGTACAGCTCCAGCATTGTCTCTGGAAGTTTGGGCAACCTTCTCTGGTAGGTTTTCCAAGAGAGAGAGAAAAAGAGAGAGAGAGAGAGAGTTGCAAAAGGGGAGGAGAGGAGAAATTTCTGCCAGCGGAACATTGGATTTTAGCCCATTTTCTTGAAATGTCTCTTGAGAGAAAATTCACAACATACCAAACTGCCACTGTGATCTGACAAACTGAGAAGTGTTTGTTTGGGCGCTACTCTGATGGCATGGTGACGTCATCTGGCATTTTGCAGTGAGTAAAAGACATACTGATATTTCAGTAATTCTCTTGGGATTCCTTCTTTACTTTTAAACTGCTGTGGCTTCAAGCCAGTAAACATTACCCAGGCCAGTGCTTTCAATGGCCCTTGGTCAATTTTTAGCTAAGCGTAGGGCGGGGATTATGTTTGCTGCTGTGTCGTATTTGGGGACTCTGACTTCCGAAAATATCATCAAAGAGAAAGAAAGTAGGTGGTGGAAAATTTTATGTTACAAAACCTTCTCATCCTCCATCCACTCTAAAAAGTAAATGAAATATATGGTCTATTGATGGCATGTTTTTCAGGGCTCATTTTAATAAAGCATTCCCCCTTCCCCTTCCTTGTATGATTTGGAACCATATAGATCACACTTGTGTTTCTTTACATGCGTATCACCTAAAAACCCTACTTCTCTTCCTTATAAGAAACCAGCACCTGTTAAGGAATGCTTCCAAAATATTTTCAGTAAATGTGATGAAACCCTTTAAAATGATATGTTGTGCTGGATATTTTGGTTTTTTTGCGTGTGTATGTATGATGAATTACACAAGTTGCACCTGTCTTTTGGCTATCTTTCTGGGAATCAAATATTCAGAACTGGTTTGCCAGTTCTCTGTGGGTGAGTGTGGCATACTTTCAAACACAGTTATCTTTCCATTTTCAATTGGTTTCAGGTAAGTAGAAAATTGGTCCCACCATTCTATCTACAATTACAAGAATTTTGAGGGATCCCTATAAACTGGTCTGATGCTGGCCACCAAAGTACAGGAAGGAAGCGCTGCCCCAATGAATGAGGAACAAATGGTCCACTGTTTATCTGCACAAAACATCTTCATTGCTTTGACTTTACAACAGCTGCAGATTTCCTAGTGGAGTTCCTTATTGTTTACCCACTTTTCCTCTCATCTTGTCCCAGAGCAGGAAAACAGAAATGGCTGGGTGCCCTGGCTCCATCTACTCTTTGGGCTGAGGTAATAGTTCAGCATTGCTTAACTAGTAAACAATAGTTCGGCTTTTATGTCACAATAAAGCTCCTATTTGCTGCTCTTCTGTTAATGGCTATGATTATTGTAAGGCTTCTAATTTGTTTTCCAGCATCCTCCTCCTACTCATGCTGCAAAATTTTTTTGGCATCCTCCTGCTGTTGTGGTCAAGTCCAGTTTATTGCTGATGTGGTGATTAGCCTGGAAAAAAAATATAACAAACAAATGTATCACATTAATGTCACCCTCTAAAGCATTCGTCAATAAACAATGAAAATGGTGCAGTTGACTACAAAAGTGGGATGGTTCCAGGTATGTTAATATGGCAGTAGACAACATTTCTATGCTGGTGTATGTCTATTCAGACACAATTGTCATTATTTCCAGTGGTGCTTACTCATAAGTAAGTGTATGTAGCTTTGCCACCGGTGGACACTTGAAAGAAAAAAGAATAAGGAAAAAAAAATACTGAGCAGACAAGTATGTGATTTCAATTTCAAAGTTGCTCTTTACAGTTCTATTATTTACAGAAATGTTTATGTTTTAAATTTTATTCCTTGTAAATGACCCTAAAAATATGATTGAAGAATGGTATGACTGTGCATTGGGCAGTTATCTACTGCTAAACCTCTTCCACCAGATCACTGAATTCTCCTGGATCCCCTCCCCCCTTTTTTTTTTTACTGAAACCGCCATGAGGACCTGAAACTAGTTTGGGTGAAGGAGAAAAAGACAAAGGGAGAGAAAATTCTGTAGTAACTCCCTGTGGAAAGTTAGATTTTGTCTCCAAAGTAAGCAGATTCAACTTTTTTGTAAACCAAAGCCCTCATACTCATACCACACCCACACCTGAAAAAACAAAGCAAAACAAAAACTGTACTTGTTTTTATCATATTTTCATTGACTGCATGTGTTTCTTATTAATTGGACCCGACACAGCTCTCTTTCTCAAATCATACTTCCTTTTGTGTCACGGATTTGGCGACAGGAAAACGCAGAGTTATTGAAGACACAAGTTCTTCTTTTGCAAGACGGTTATATTTACAGTATTTACAGGTATTTACAGGCAGGCATCACATCAGCATGGCAGGAACTCTTTATACAAATGGACATAGTGTATAGCAGCAAATGGTGAAGAAAGAAGAGGATGATACATAGACACTGTTCACTTATATACATGTCCATGGCATCTCTAGTCCAATCAGAAGACACATGACTTCATCTTCTGCACCTGGTGTCTTCTTATTTCCAGACATTGCATCATCTTCAGCATGCTCACATCTGTGCACAATGGCAGCTCGTTAATAATACATTTATTCAGGTTCAGGCCTACAAAATTTCTATATTCTGACATTTTGTTACTTAGACTGTATATGCACTTTCATCCTTAATGTTGTTCTTAAGTCCAAAATGATAATTAAGAATGTGATCCATACCTACTATATGTCTCAACACAATTTCTTTTGTAGTGGATTTTTTTAATTACCAGATCCTTTTGGTTGCCGCCTCTGAATATGTTCCATTTTGTCTATATTCCCCTTACACCATGGTACATGGAACTGAACACTGTAGTCTGGGTGAAGTCTATCTAAGTGCTATTATTGTTCCACCTTGTGGGCATTGTATGTCTATAGATGCAGCCTAGAACTGCATTTGCTGCCATATGCTGTACATTCGTGTTCACCTGGTAATCTATTAAGACTCTTTTCACTAAGATCTCTAGATCCTTAGCAAATATGATAGAGTGTTCAGACTGGTTGATTGGTCTGGCTGATTTAGCCACAACCTAAATATTTATGTTTGGGATTTCTCAAACTACATTACCCACTCAGTCAAATGGGTGGAAGGAACTCAGATCAACAATACCAGGCTGATAGGGTGACCTACCACTGGTTGTATCCTGGAGAGCCCCCCCCTTTTCTGGACTTCCCCCAAGATACACACGGAAGGAGCTCCCCTCAGACCCATTGCCAGCAGCATAAACTCAGTAACATACAACATTGCTAAATACCTGTCCACTATCTTAACACCATTGGTTGGACATTCAGACCACCACATTCACAACTCAGAGGAGTTTGCATCCAAGGTCAGGGAACTGAAACTAAATACTGACAAAATCATGGTATCCTTTGATATCATGTCCCTCTTCACCAGCATTCCCAGCCCTGATGCCTGAACAACTGTAAAAAGGAGACTGAAAGAAGGCAACACCCTCTCCACCAGAAGCAGCCTCAACCTGGACCAGATATGCCTGCTCCTGGATCTGTGTCTGAGCACCACGTATTTCATCTACGAAGGGGACCTTTACAGACAGAAATATGGCTGTGCCGTAGGTTCCCCGGTGTCACCCATTGATGTCAAATTATACATGGAAGAAAAACTGTAAAAAGGAGACTGAAAGAAGGCAACACCCTCTCCACCAGAAGCAGCCTCAACCTGGACCAGATATGCCTGCTCCTGGATCTGTGTCTGAGCACCACGTATTTCATCTACGAAGGGGACCTTTACAGACAGAAATATGGCTGTGCCGTAGGTTCCCCGGTGTCACCCATTGATGTCAAATTATACATGGAAGAAATAAGGGTGAACATCAAGAGTCACGGAGTACAGGCTTTCACAGACCACATAAATGCAGTGGACCCAAATATTACGTTCACCAGGGAAGACACCAAAAACAGCTGGCTGGTTTCCCTGGGCTGTGAAGTCATCATAGGATCCAATGGCACCTTAAGAATAGAAATCTACAGAAAACCTACACACACTGGTCATTACCTGCGATTTGACTCTCCTCACCCGTTACAACACAAACTAAGGGTCATCAGGACCCAAAGCCGATGGAAGAACCTGGTCATTCCTTACATGGTGGGTGTGTCTGAAAAGCTCCAAAGGATTTTTGGTAAACGCCACATACTCGTGCACTTCAAACTCACAAACACATTAAGGCAGAGACTCATCCATCCAAAAGACCGGATACCAAAACATAACAGGAGCAATATAGTATATGTGGTCCAATACAAAGAGGAGTGTTCAGAGCTCTACATTGGAGAAACAGCCACTAAACAGAAGAATGGCCCAGCACAGGAGGGGCAACGGCTCAGGGCCACAATCAGCAGTGTTCCTTCATTTGAAGGACAGAGGACACTCATTTGACGACCAAGATATACTCATTTTGGACTGAGAGGTTTTACAGAGGGGTCAGGGAGGCCATACATGTGCATACAGAAAAGCCCTCACTCAACAGGGGTGAAGGCCTTAGATACAATCAGTTTCCTGTTTCTCATGCTGCCCTTTCATCTATTCCTGGAAAGATTAGGGACACACACACCAGAAAGACCATGGTTAATGCCCATTAACAACCCATAACAATTGATGGAGAAGGACTGCAGAAGTGGGATTATCCCTCACCCCATTCCTTTGTCCTTCTAACAAGCCTATATAGACTGGGTTATGTGTGTGAAACCAATGTGGAGTACATATCAGGGATCTCCTAGCAACTCTCCTCAGACTGAAGAAGCTACTTGGATGAGTAGTGAAACATTTTCTTTCTAATAAGAAAGAAATCAAGTTGCCATGACCCAACTTCCAGATAACCTCACCTGAATGAGTGAGAATCTTCACAAATTGTAATACCTGTGTCCTGCCAAGTCAGTTTTGAGTTATGGTGTCCATTTTTAGGGTTTTCCAGGTAGAGAACACACACACGTGATTTACCATTGCTGTCTTGTGGGGCACTCTGGGATATTGGAGCTTGCCCAAGGCTCCACATTCTGGCTCTTCTAGGAGACACAGTGGGGAATCAACCTTCCAACCTCTACCTCCACAGCCAGGTGGCTAACTTACTGAGCTATCCAGCCAGCAACCAGGCTGATACCCAACAATATTATGCTATTAAAAAAAAAACAAAATGGCAGAACTCTATTGGTTGTCACAGTTCCCAACCCAGTTCAGTAAAATATATTAATAGTGAGCTATAGCCCAATCTGGGCAATGCCACTTTCCTCTCATAACCTTTGGGTTACAGGCCTGTGTTTAATTAAAGGTTTTCCCTCCCCCCACAAATCCAGATACTAGCAATGACTAGGAGCAACAGACTAGCATTGCTGTCCCTTGGAGGAATTACTCTTTTCTCAGAACAATTCCTTCTGGCCAGTAATACATTCTAATTGTGTTGGGTGAAAGAGTCAAGTGTGTGTCATCCCAGGACTGTGTACTGCAGAATTAATTGTGTTCATTTTTGGCTAGCTTTCAGCATACTCCTCTCAATAGTGAACTATAAATTACTCTCTAATGAAGAAAAATCAACCATTCTTAATGTTTCATTTATCACAGTAACAAGGAGAAACTATGCTTTTCCTGTAGGCTGAGACACATGATGTCAAGCAGTGTTCTAAATCTGCCATTCTCAACCTTTTTCCCCCCTGGCCATAAACACAATATGAAAGAAATATAGGCTGGAACAGGATTATATAAGTCACATAACAAACCCAATAAGGTGGCGTGCGAAGAATCATTTCCAGTCTGTGTCCTCTTCAAATGTGCCGGAACCCCCCCAGGGGATCACATGGACCCCCTTTGAGAATGGCTGCTCTAAATCATGGCATCTGTATGCCCCACTTTGTGGATTTCAACATGAGAGAGAGAGAGAGAGAGAGAGAGAGAGCGAGAGAGAGAGTCCCAAAGTTACTGCAAAAGACTGTGGCTTTTCTTTGCTGGATTGAGAGATTGAAAGAATAAATAAAAAAGAAACGGAAAGGGCTGTTGCAGACATTAAAATCCTTTTCCAGAAAAACATAGGATGTTGGCTGTCTTTTAATTATTCTGATGAATGCCTAAGTTAAATTAGTTATAGCAAGCTTTTTTTCTGTTTCACTTGCTTCCTTGGATTAACCCAGCTTTTTTTGAGCATGAAACCTAAAGCTTTGAAGTAATTAACAAGTAGTACATATGTTTTAGTGCTAGGTGTTGTTAGAACACACGGGCAACAAAAGTAGGACTGAACCTTGAGAAACCTAGCCATAACATACTTGAAATTATAAATGCCAGAGGATTCTGCTCTGCTGGGTGGGCTCTAGTGTTCCAGTCCTAAAGCTGCTTTACAGTACATTACAGTTTTCACAGCTGTTGCTTAATTTATTCTGACTTGATTGGCTGAAGTTGATTGAGGGTTAGGAAAGTGGATTAGGAAAGCGATTTGTGGTTTTGTATTTCTGAGCTGTATTTCTAACTTCTTCCTTTTTCTAGCGGGGTGGGCCCTTATGCCTTGCTTAAAATCAAGGACAAAAGGTTGAGATCTGCATGAAATTTGCATTAGCTAATTTATATGTGTACAAGGGTGCTGCAGGAAGAGGAAGGCTAACTCC